ACGTATTATCTTGTCTATTTCATCTAAGATGTATTTCTTATCTAAGATTACATGAAGATAAATCTAAGACTAGGTGGAATATAGATTAGCTTTTTATACTTTATAAAAATAGAATCATTTTAGCTTATTTTTCTGCAACTTACTTTTTCTGCTACACATTATTTTTGCTATAAACTTTATTTAGATATAATTTGCATAAAATACATACACTAATTTACATATAACAAAATACTCCCATTCTAAGTTCACAGTTTGAGGAGTCACAGCTGTACAAAACCATGTATATGCCACTACAATCAAAGATATATACGATTTTTATCTCCCTCAAAACCTCCTTTGTACACCTTTGCAGTCAACCCACCCCCCATTCCTCTGCCCTCAACTTCAGCTCTAGGCAACCACTCATTTACTTTCTATCATTGTAGACTAGTTTTACCTTCATTTGTATATCCATTCACTACTGAACATTTGGGGTCTTTCCAGTTTGGAGTCATTTTTTTAAAAAGCTGTTACGAACATTCACGTACAAGTCTTTCTGTGGGTGCATGTTAACATTTATGTTCAAATCTTTAGGTGGATGTGTTTTCACTTCTCGTGGGTAAATACCTAGGAATTGAATTGCTGGGTCCCATGCTAAGTACATATTTAACTTTATAAGAAACTTTCAAATTATTTCCCAAAGTAGTAGTGCCACTTTCCATTCCTACCAATAATGTTTGAAAGTTCCAGTTGCTCTATAGCTTCAACACTTGGTATTGACAGTTAGTATTTGAGCCATCGTGGTGGGTTTGTATCCTGTGACTTCATGTTTTTCTAATTAATGGCAAAGGCCCTTGAGCATCCTTGGCAATTTGAATACCTTTTATGAAGAATCTATTCAAATCTTTTGCCCAATAGTTGGGCTCTTTTAACTTTTCATTATTGAGCTGTAAGCATTATTTATAAGTCCTGGATACAAGTCCTTTGATATACGTATTGCAAATATTTTCTCCCAATTTGTGAACTGCCATTTGTCTTACAGATGTGTTTCAAAGAGTTTTAATTTTAATAAATTCCAACTTATGTATTTCTTTCATGATTCATGCATTCTATGTCCTAAGAGATCTTTGCCAATCCCAAGATAGCAAAGAATTTCTTCTAAAATTTCTAGCTTTAGCTTTTGTTTAGGTCTATGATCCATTTTATAATCTAAATTTTGCACTAAAATTGTATATGGTGTGAGACAAGAGTTGAGGTTCATTTTCTATATCAATATGGAAAATCAATAATTATTTCATTTGTTGAAGACTACCTTTTCCTCATTGAATTACTTTGGCACTTTTATCAAAATTCAATTGTCGCCGGGCGCTGTGGCTCACGCCTGTAATCCTAGCTCTTGGGAGGCTGAGGCGGGCGGATTGCTCAAGGTCAGGAGTTCAAAACCAGCCTGAGCAAGAGCGAGACCCCGTCTCTACTATAAATAGAAAGAAATTAATTGGCCAACTGATATATATATAAAAAATTAGCCGGGCATGGTGGCGCATGCCTGTAGTCCCAGCTACTCGGGAGGCTGAGGCAGAAGGATCACTCAAGCCCAGGAGTTTGAGGTTGCTGTGAGCTAGGCTGACGCCACGGCACTCACTCTAGCCTGGACAACAAAGCGAGACTCTGTCTCAAAAAAAAAAAAAAAAAAAATTCAATTGTCCTTATATGCATAGATCCATTTCTGAACTCTATTCTATCTGTTGGTCCTCGATATTTTTTATAAAACATGTCTATCAGCAACAAATTCTCTTACCTTTTCTCTATCTGAAAAAGACTTTCTCACCTTCATACTTGAAGTATATTTTTGCTGAATATAGAATTCTAGGTCAACAGGTTATTCTTTCAACATTTTAAAGATGTCATGCAAAGGTCTCTAATTTGAAGTTTGAGAAAAGATGTAGTTATTCTTACTTTGGTTGCTCTGTAAGAAATGTGTCTCTCCTGCCCCCAGCTTTTACAATTTTCTCTGGTTTACAACAATTTCATTATGATGTACTTGATGAGATTTTAACATGTTACTTGAATTTCTTGGTTCTGTTTGTTTATAGTTTTCATCAATTAAGAAAATTTTTAGCCATTATTTCTTAACATATTTTGTCTCAACCCCAACTTCTAGAACTTCAAATACAAGTATATGAGAACAGTTAATATTATCTCACAGGTGGCTGAGAAACTGTTCTAATTTTTTTCACTTTGTGCTTTAGTATGCTTCAAATTCACTGATCTTTAGTTCTGTGCAAACAATCTATTGTAACTTCATCTATTCCTTCTCATCTAGTTAATAACCAAGGAGGACAAAATAGCAACAGTGATTTCTTTTTAAAATAAATCTTACACATACTTGATTAATGGTATAAATGTATTGGCCATGAATAAAATATTTAAGGACTATTAATTTAGAAATGTGTAAGTAGTTTTTTCAATACTGTATTATGTCTATAAATAATAGCTTGTGTGTATATATGTATGTGTATATAGCACACTTGTATGTAGCATTGGAAATGATATTGAATGTGATACCAACAATGTATTATTATTATAGTTTTATTTTTTGATTTTGACCTCTTTTAAAGAAGGTGATAACAATCTGTGGAAAATACTTTATTATATCATACCAATATACTGCAATGAGTATTTCAAAATAATACAAAAGTAATTCACAAACTTGATTAAGTGAAGATCAAATGATCCAAAAATTTTTCTTCCTTAGTTTGTCACAGCAATTGCTATAAGTCCGTAAGCTGATTTTTCCAAGAAAGATTATTCTAATAACTTTGAGTGTTCAATCCGTGAAATGGTCCAGTCAGGCTTTACTCCTTGTGTAAACTCCCTCTGAAATCTAGGAAAAACATTGCAAATAATGTGAATGTTACATCAGCCCAAATACCTCTTAGCTAACTATATAATTTGCAAGTGTATATTAGAGGAGTTTTTAACAACAAGTTAATAGTTAATGGCAAATCAAAATCAAACAAAAAAAAGTTTAACTTACCAATTCGATCACAAAAAGTAAACCCACAAAAATTGAAGTACATTCTCAACTAATGTGAGTATTTTTAAGGACTAATCTACATTTAATATCTGCCAGCCTGAGAGTAACTTGAATATTATTCTGTTTCAATGCTAGTTATTATACTTGCCTAATATGAGGAGAAATAAATTGGACTCTGATGATGCAGGCAGCATTTCAAATATATAACCTAGCATACAGTAAAACTTGTTTTTCAAATAACATTGTTACTAGTTTAAAAATAAACAGTGGAATCTGGATTATATACATTAGATCAATCTTGAAAATGACAGTGTTTATGAGCTGCCCATGGTTTTAGTAAGGACCATCAGAGGAGACAAAATTTAGTACTGATGACAGCGATCCTTAATTATAAATGATGTCTTAAAAAACAGACAATTCAGTAGATTCAAATTAAGTATTTAAATATATAGAATATTTTTGACAGTTATAAATATAGCAAAATTGAAAAAATAACACATTTCTTTCAAGAAAAGTATAAAGGCGAGGATATACAAGGGCTGGAAAGTGTCCAGCCATTGTATCCATGTAGCCATGGCTGGATACTTTCTGGACAGCCCTTGTAATACTCTTTTACTTTAGTGGAATCAGAATACATTTTCTTTCTTAGGCCATCTTTGTAATGTGTCTGTTATTTTAAAGCAAATTTGTATAACCTTAGCAATATAATAACAGTATTCTCTTTTGAATATTAAATTATGTCTCCATTGACTTGCTCTAGTTGTTCCACTGTTCCAAATTTTGTTAGCACAAAAATGCAACATAATGTCTCTTTTAAATAACTTGGTAACCCCCTACTATGCAGTATGTCCTTAAGGGAAGAATCCCTTTAATTTTGTATCTGAACCCCTACCAGAGTACATGGCACACAAATGATCAACAGATTCCTAGTGAATGAATGGTCCACATGCCAGTTATGGCAGATTTTATTTTCCAAAGATGGCCACAACTATGTCTCCCCTCGCCAGTGCTCTTCTATAAGCTGGCTCTGCTGTTTGTTGCCCCATAAAGTGGTGGAGTCTGCCTACATCCTTTAAACTGTGCAGATCCTATGACTGCTTTGACCAATAGACTATGGCAGTAAAGACGTTCTAATTCTGGGCACAGCCCTTTTCTGATCTAGCAGCTTCCATTTTTTGATTCTTGGAATCCAACTACCATGTAAAAGATGTGACTAGTCTGAAACTACTACAAGTCCAAGCCACAAAGAGAGGCCTAGAGAATGAGACATGATGGAGAAGCCAAGGAGCACCAAAGTGCCACACAAGTGACGAAGCCACAGCTTCTGCCACTCCAGTGGATGCTAGGGGAAAGAGAGAAAACCCACAATGAGCCTATCCAACATTCCTGAACAGTGAAACAGGAGGCAAAATAAATGGCTGCTTGAAGCCACTGAATTTTTGAGAGGTTTGCTATACAGTGATAGCTGAAACACCATTTAATTAAACTCAACATTACCTCTTTCTAATTTCTTAACACTCCTGTTTCATATCCAGTCTGTCTTTATGACCTTTTCTCTTCATTAATAACTTGTGAAATTTCAATTCTTTTCTTCCTAAAATCCCTTTAGTTTTTATACCCTCACGCTACCTTCCATTTTCTAGAGAAAGGAAACAATGAAATGTGATTACACTTACTCATAGCTTGCACTAAGAAGTTGTTTAGTTTCCACATTCTGATCTCCCAACTTAACCTGGAATACACTGGCTCCTTTTAAAGTTTCACTGGGGATGTTGGCACTGGTTAGATACCAAAAGCACATCAGGATATTAACAAACTTCCTTCCTTAGAGAAAAAACATACACACATACACATACAAATACAAATCATAATAATCCATCATCCATATACCCAAAATGAAATCAGAAATTGGCAGTAGTTATATAGTTGCTACAGATTAAATTCTGTGCTTATGTGGGTGTAACTTAAGATACCTGTATTGATACTTTTTTTTATTTCTAAAATTTCTTTTAGAAAATCTCTTTATGACATACTTACTCTCTGCATCTCAGTAACAAACCTACTATTTACTGAGCACATACTTTGCTAAGTATACTAGGTGGATTATATTCAATTTGTGGTATTTTCTAAAATTATAATAATTTTATGAGATATCTGTTGTCAAACCAAAAATACAGAGGAAAAAATATTTTTTGCTCCTAAATAATTAACTTAACCTAAATAATTAACTTAACCCAATTGCCAGGAGGAAGGCTTTTATTCTACTCTAATTCACTTTGCTGTGCCTGGTGATTCTGACAACTTCCTGTGTAAAATCAGTTAGTGACCATAGTGCTGAGATGTAATTTGAAATATTAGCAAAGGAGAAAATATCATTAAAAATACCTTTATGAATGTTTCAAAGTAAAATGTCTATGAAAAATTTTCTAACCATTAAGAATCTTTTGCAGCAACTTGGAAGGAACTGGAGACCATTATCCTAAGTGAAGCATCTCATGAATGAAAAAAACAAACACCACATGGATTCTCTAACAATTGGGAGCTGAATTATGAGCGCACACGGGCACAAAGTTATATAAAGGACATTGGAAACTAAGAAGGGGAGAAGGTGGCAGGGGGTAAGGGGTAAAAATTTAACTATTGGGTACAATGAACACTATTCTGGTGATGGGCATACTAAAAGCCCTGACTTAAGCCTTATATATAAGGTATCCATATAACAAAACATTTGCACCCCCTTAATATTTTAAAATTAAAAAAACTGCCTTGGGAAGTATAGAAGCAGAGGCTACATACATTTCTTGTATGGCTGGCAACATAATACATATGCAAATACAGTCATCCTTTAATATCCATGGAGGATTAGTTCCAGAACCCACTGCGGATACCAAAATCCAAAGATGCTCAAGTCCCTTATACAAAATGGTGTACTATTAACATAACACACATCTTCCTGTATGCTTGAAATCATCTTTAGATTACTTATAATACCCAATATTAATACAATGTAAATACTATGTAAATAGTTGTTACACTGTACTGTTTAAGGAATGAAAGAAAAAAAAAATCTGTACATATTCCGTACAGACAAAACCTTTTTTTGATCCAAGGTTGGTTGAATCCACAGATGCAGAACCCATGGATACAGAGAGCCAACTGTATGTGTAGAAAGAATAAGTCAATCAATGAATTTTTAGGAATGCTATAGGAAAAATGTATGCATTGGAAAAGAAGAACTATATAACCATTAAACGTCCCTCCAACTTTTTTCATTATCCTCAAATACAATAAATCCAATTTGGAAGTTCTGCAGTTAATTTCATTTTCAAATCAGTCTTTAGCTGGCACTATCTACTTTGATTTTCTTTTACTCCTTACTTTTTCCATATATTATGCAGCTGGAAATTTAAAATGCTCATTTGTTTCCTTCAAGTTAGGAAATCTAAGACATAAATATTTTCAAATTGAGACATGGGAGCAGCTCATCTTAAACAGACTATTTTCTTTTCTTTCCTTTCCTTTTTTTTTTTTTTTGAGACAGAGTCTCTCTCTGTTGCCTGGGCTAGAATGCTGTGGCATCAGCCTAGCTCACAGCAACCTCAAACTCCTGGGCTCAAGCGATCCTCCTGCCTCAGCCTCCCGAGTAGCTAGGACTACAGGAACACGCCACTGTGCCTGGCTAATTTTTTCCATTTTTAGTTGTTTGGCTAATTTCTTTCTATTTATAGTAGAGATGGGGTCTTGCTGTTGCTCAGGCTAGTCTTGAACTCCTGAGTTCAAGCAATCCTCCTTCCTCGGCCTCCCAGAGTGCTAGGATTACAGGTGTGAGCCACCACACCCGGCCTAAACAGATTATTTTCATCAATATAAATGATAGTGTTTTCTCCTGTGAACTATAAAGTAGTAGGGAAAAGTTCTAGATAGAAAGGTATAAGGAACTACTACCACAACTCAACTCTTTCATAGCTGGGTCTTTAAAGAATAAGTATATCATTTTCTTTGAAGTTCTATAAATATCCACTTATACAGACAAATTCCCACTATTTTGTGATTATCCACCTATTTAGCTTATCTGGACAATTATGGATCATTTAAATTTAATAGTAAATTTAAAGTTTACTATGCTCCAGCATTACCTTTCTCATCATAGTAAATGGAGATGTCTCCTGTTGATGTATATACAATTTCATCCACGTCAGCAGCAAGGGCATCTTTATGGTTGTCAGGGAGTGAAGTAATTTTTTCTTTCAATACATGTAGCACCTAAGTTTGGAAAAAGCAAACCAATAGTTCACCAATTCAGTTTTTGAAAACTTTCAAAAAGTGATCTTTATCATGGAATACATTTTTCTAAATCTATTTTTAAATCTACTACCATATTTACTCATCCTCAAAAGTAAGGCTGACAGGTGCTCTTCCAAAGCAAGGGTACAGATTCATCTAATTCTTCACCTAGAAAATTCTTAACCAGAACATTGTATATAATAGCAACTGAAAGACATCATATTTACTTACTTATGCCTTATGTTGCATGAGTCACTCTCCATGCTTTTTTATGGCCCAAAGTACCCATAAAGACATATACATAGACTCTACTTTGGCTGCTGGTACACACACTATTTTTAAGTATTAAATATAAATAAGGAGATTGTGTATCATTCTATTACAAGAGAGTAATGCATTTATTTTAAAGAAAACTTAAAAGTATACTTTACCTCTTTGGCCACAAGTTCTTCCAATAGATCAAATTTACATTGTGACAGCAACGTGGATACGTGAGCAAAAGCCTTTAAAAAAAGCGGGAAGATGGTTGCATTATTTCAAAATACCATGCAAAATACCCTATAATGGGCCGGGCGCGGTGGCTCACGCCTGTAATCCTAGCTCTCTGGGAGGCCGAGGCGGGCAGATTGCTCGAGGTCAGGAGTTCGAAACCAGCCTGAGCAAGAGCGAGACCCCGTCTCTACTATAAATAGAAAGAAACTAATTGGCCAACTAATATATATAGAAAAATATTAGCCGGGCATGGTGGCGCATGCCTGTAGTCCCAGCTACTTGGGAGGCTGAGGCAGCAGGATTGCTTGAGCCCAGGAGTTTGAGGTTGCTGTGAGCTAGGCTGACGCCACGGCACTCACTCTAGCCTAGGCAACAAAGCGAGACTCTGTCTCAAAAAAAAAAAAAAAAAAAAAAAAAATACCCTACAATGCTCATACTTAAGTAGCTAAGTGTAACAAAGACTATTTTATGGTATAGGTGATAAACAATGTCAAATACTAATATTCAAAACATCAGCACTAGGCATGACTCCTTCAAAGTTGGTTGACTTTTCTTATATGGTCTTCCCACATATATAGTACTAAGTGAACTGACTGCTAATTACGTATCCACTCTCAGGACCTGGGAAATGATAGTGTGTGGTGTACACAGTAAATGCCTCAATAAAAATCCTCCTATATATTTCCTTTTAAAATAATGAAGTAAACAACCATCTGACTGTTATGATCTACCTCTCAATCATGCATAGATAGCAGTTGGGAAGCAGCACAGTCTACATTGTATTGGGAGTCTGGAGATCAGGGCTGCAGTCTGAATCTCATTCAGACCGTAAGGTAATAATGAACCATTAAGAGGCTGCCCTGATAAGGCCTTGATGATATAGAAGTGTTCCACCTCCAGAGGCTTCTAGGAGATAGCCTTTATTCCCCATAGGATAGGCTAAACTGTATAAGCAAGATATAAGAAAATAAACATACATAGTTTGATAGCAGTAATAAGGATGATATGCCATATGTACTTACCAATAGCGAGCAGGGCCTGTGGTGCTAACATAAGGGTTAAATAGCAATAGGCCACCTATTCCCCTGGCCCACATAATGAATAAAACACTTGCCTAGATTATATTTAACTATCTCCAATCTTTAATGACTGTGAAGGACCAAGACTGTCCCAAGACCCAACTCTTGTAGACAATGCACCTCAGTACTTCCTAGCTATGCATCCTTGAGCTAATTGTTTCATCTTTCTGGTGTTTGGTTTTATCACTTGTAAAGATGGATTAGAGTATAAAAGGCATCTTTTCATTTTCATGTTCTATGATTAAAAATTAAAAATCTTAATGAACAGGATCTAATTGATATTCACAACCTAACATAACATCTTGTTGCTGGGAGATAAGCCTAAGGAGAAAGGGGAAGTGAAGCCCAAAGAGGAGATAAACTAGATAGTGTTTTGCATCAAATTTTGCATCCTAAGCCCTAGATTTATGTCCACAAGGGAAGGTACAGTTGCATCATGATAGTAGGGAGAAGGCTTTTGGCCATGTCCTCACAAATCTTAGGTGTTGAAGAACTGATTTGCTTGATCTGAATGGTATGCTCAGTAACCACTGGTTTAAGGAAATCACTAAATATTTGCCACAGATGACCCAGAAATTCTTTTTGGAAGTCAGAATGGTTAACTGCACATAAACTGACTTAGGTAAAGCAAAAGTAAATACAGACTGGCTGATGAATGGGTGGAGATACTGCTTAACAATAAGGAGAGAGGAGACTAAAATAGCTAAACAGCTGAAGGACCATTAGGATCAGAAAGTGAACCAGAAAGTGCCCTATGCTCCTCAGTGTGTACAGAGAAAACAGGGACTGAGGTCTGATTCCTGCCCATCATGGGAAGATGATTTCCTTTCCTTGTTGACACATAAATGAGCTGATACAGTCACTATGTATTATAAGGTGGACAAGCTTACACGTTATCAGAGGACATTGTAGAGAATAGTAGGATCACATCAATTTACCTCCGCATAGACAAAAGACTTTGAGAACTGACGTTAGCAGAGGCTTATCACTTAATTATGATGCTCAGTTAATCAAGTTGCTCTTTGATTTTTAATTTTCTTATAAACACATATAGTCGTCAAGAGTTGACTCAGGGAAGCAGGAAACAGGAGTTAATACCGTGCTTCCCCGAAAATAAGACCTACCCATAAAATAAACCCTAGCAGGATTTCTAAGCATTTGCACAATATAAGCCCTACCTGAAAATAAGACCTACTGATGGGCGTGGCAATGCAGCGTATCTATACAACCCTGCATTTCCATGGGAGCAGTAAAGAAGATAAGCAGCCCTTCTCATCTGCCCCATCGTGACAGCTACTATCCCAGAGGTGACCAGAAAGGTGTGGGCTCCCCATCAGGTCCTGGCCATCCTGTGCGTGCTGCAAGCTGAGGCTCTGAGGAGAAAATAACACATCCCCTGAAAATAAGCCCTAGGGTGTCTTCTTGAGGAAATAAATATAAGACCCTGTCTTATTTTTGGGGAAACACAGTGTTAACACTGATTACATAAAATTGAAAACATTTAATTTACAATTGATAGGTCACATAAATAGAAATGATTATGGAAAAATCTTAAATTAGGAGTAAAAATATTAATATTAGCATACAACCAATATTGTAAAATGATTACACTGATGGCATGATTTACGGTACAGGGAGGTATGAACTGGAAAAGAAATTATGACTATTGTTTATCAATAGTTCTGCAATATTTGTAAATAACACTAAGTCAAAAGAAAGGTATAGATGGCTCTTTATCCTTAAAAAAAGAAAAACAAAAAAACCCCCCAAAAACATGTACACACAAATTCTGCAAATACTCTTAGGACCCAAAGTGACCATTATGTGGTGAGGATAAGGCAAAGTGTCATCAGCCATTCAGAAAGAGGGACATAACTGACAGAGTCAGGGCTATGAATCACCAAAGGCTACATATTCTCAGTGTGCAGGGTGCTGTGCACTTATAAGCAACCAGGTAGTCAAAGCAAATTCTTTGAAAAGGTGAAATCTCCAGGTTATTCCTTAAGGAGTATGAGGTGGTGGTGGTGAAGGGAAACTGTCAAACAGATGCCAGGACATTATAGCACTTTGGAAATATTATCTCATTTATTCTTCAATCATATCCACTCATTAATTTATTCAACAAACATTTATTAAGTGCCTGCTTTGTGCCTGGCACTGTCTTCCCCATTTTGCAGATTTGGAAAATCATGCTCAGCAAAGGTAAGGCCATATAGCTTTTCAGTGCCAGAAACAGGCTTTGAATCCATTTGTCTGATTCAAAACCTGCAGAGGGTGAAAAAAGCAATTGGGAGACTTCATTCTGGAACCCTTCCTTCTCAGTGACCGTGCAAAAACACACCCAGATTACTCTAAGTCCAGAAATGGATGGAGGGCTCTAGGCCGCCACTACCCACGTTTGATCACTTGGGTGAAGAAACTTCACCGTTAAACCCTTCTGCGTGTAATAGTTGAATGCCTGAGACGCGGACAGGTCAACCAGGGAATACACAAACCTGCTTCGCCCCCTCAGAGAACTCTGCGATGCTGAATTCTTTGTCGAAATACGCCCAGATAAGGAAGGCATAAATTCGAGTCCGAACCCAGTTGATGGGGTTGGCGAATCCCAGAATGATCATCTTGGTTTTCTGGCGCTGCTGGGGCTGCTCCTCCGTGCTGTAGCTGCGCCGGGGGCAGGCAGGGAAAGAAGCAAGGGCTTCGGGGAGTCCCGGAGGGCTGAGCACTGGCCGCCCGAGGCCCCGGACAGGCAACGCAGAGGCCGCCAAGGCCCAAGTGCTTCGGGAAAACGGGGCCGGTCCCGAGGTAAGGCGGCGGCGGCAAAGGCAACAAAACCCAGCCAGTGGCAACTTCATCTCAGCCGCACCAGGAGTCCAAGGTCGGGCGGCCCCGCCGGGCAGGGACCGAGAGAGCAGCAGCTTCGGCAACAGACGAGCGGTCAGCGCCATCTTCATGACCTTTCACCCCTCTGCTTGCCGGTGCTGTATTGAAAAGAAGTCGGTGGGAAACCACCTCGGCGCTGTGGGAGACTGGAGAGCAAAGTTGGCCTATTGCTGCCACCTCTGGTGAGTCCGCCTCATTCTGGCTCTCCAGCACGCACGCAGCCAGTGCAGAGGCCCTTCGGCTCCCCGCCACGCCCTCGGAACCAGCCACTCTGGAGTCGGAGGACTCACGGATCTTTTCTCTTCCGGTCGTGTTTCCGGGCGGATCGCGCGCTGACGAGCACTCTGGAACCGGATTTCACAAGGCCTGGCAGAGGGCGGGCGTGAGCAGACATGGCTGGGCAGCGCCTGCTAGTACCCCGGCTCGAGGGCGTTTCACGGGAGCAGTTCATGCAGCATCTCTACCCACAGGTGAGGCCCTAGCGCGGGGCCGAACCGGAGGAAGCTAGGGGAGACCCATCTCTGCCACTCGGACGGCTCCAAACTGGCTTTTTTGAGACCCAGGGTGTGGGGAAGAGGCAGCAGGCAGCAGAAGATGACTGGCCGTTTGGCCTAGAGAGAGGGCGTATGGGGTATGTCGACTGGTTCATCTATTAAAATTTCCGGAGAAAACAGCCACAGGTTTTCCGGGGAGCAAGATGACGGTGGAGAGCTGAGTGCGAGTGGCATTTTGCCTACGCTCTTTATTCGCTGTGAAGAGCGGCCTTGCAGAGAGCTCTCTATTAAGACTTCTGCCGTTATGATGGCATTGGAAGCCTTTTTTCCCCCATTCGTCCTGCCTCCCTGTCTTCTGCCTGGTCTCGTAAAGTTTAGTGCATGATTCGCGGCCTCCCTCTGGTGGTGCGAACTGCGCCTGTCAGTCTACTCCAAGTTAATGGATTTGCTGGCGCAACTTTTCACTCCACAGAGCCAATAGGGAAAGCAATGGCATTCCCCCGAGAAACCTGCCAGTTTTGGATTTTAACTAACGTGGATTCTAGTTCGGACATTGAGATCCTTTATATGTGTAATTTGATCTTTACTTCTTTAAAAGAAAACTCACAGGGAAATATTAATGGAACAAAAAGTGATTTTACTTGCAGTGCTTTGCAAGGGAGTCCAGACTTAAGAAAAACAGAATAAGAAGCCCAGCAGGTATTTAAAGGAAAAAAAATCTACATGATTACAGTAAGTCTGTTTATGGTAGGGGAAAAAAAACCCCAGCAATTTTCTTACCTGATATTATACTCACATCTACAGGAGTGGTCATAGAACTACAGTTCTTGAGTACTACAAAATTCAGGGCTGAAGTTTTTTGTCTTGGTAGTTTGTAACCGTAACCTACGAGAGAGGATTCAAATTTTCATATCGTTTGGGGACTAGTACTAAATGGATTGTTCTTGCTCTCCCTACCCCAAACCTCCATCTCAGGATGTGTTGGTCATAGGATGCCTTCAGGCCAGTGTTATGAAGATTGATATATGTGGAAATGCTTCATAAAGCATAAAGGTATGCTTCATAAAGCATAAAGGTATTATGTAATCTAATCTTTACAAACAAGCAAACAAGACATAAGTCACAAAGCATTACTAAGTTTTATATTGTAGAAAATTACAACCTCTGTAAAGAGAAGTAAAACTAGTAAGGTAAAACTAGAAATTAATAACAATATTGGAAAAAAGATCTTTCTACTTGGAAATACTAAAGAGAAAAGTATGAGGGGACACAGTTCTAAATAACTCCATAATTAACACTGTATATGGTACAGGTGCATGAATAGGCAAGACCAGAGAAATAGAATTGAAAGTCCAGAAATTAATCATCTCTCTCTCTCTCTCCATATATATATGTGGAGATATATAATATATAATTTATATATATATAAATTTCCACTCATGGAAATTTAGCATGTAATGAACATGACATTTCAAAAATCATTGGGGCAAAATTGACTTTTTTTTGATACATCTTTTAGGTAAAAAATAGACTTTATTTTTTAGAGCAGTTGGAGGTTCCCAGCAAATTGAGCAAAAGGTACAGCAATTTCTCGTATACTTCCTGTCCCTTCACATGTGTCGCCTCCTCCATTATTAACATCCCCCACCAGAGCGGTACATTTGTTATAATTGATGGACCTACATTGAGACATCATTTTCACCCCAAAGTCCATAGTTTATATTGGGGTACATTCTTGGTATTGTATGTTCTATGGGTTTAGGCAAATTTGTTATGAAGTGTATCCACCATTTTGGTATCATACAGAGTAGTTTCACTGCCCTAATTGTGCTGGGGCAATAGGATAGTCATTTAGAAAATGATAAAATTAGATTATGTCTCACACTATACATAAGAATAAACTCCAGGTGGATCAGAAAAATGTAAAGAAATGAAGCTATACAAGTACTAGAAGAAAATATGGGTAAATTCCTCTATAATCTAGGTCTATGGAAAGCCTCTCTGTGACTCCAAATTCAAGTGTAATAAAAAATTAGAATTTGATCACATAAAAATTTGAATGACAGAAATGCTATAAGCAAAGTTGAAAGACAAATACAAACTGGGAAAAAAACATTTGCAACATATATGTCATATAAAGGCCAGTAAAAGCCCTTATATGTAAAGAACTTTTAAAAGGGGGGAGGAGAGGCAACAATCTGACAGATAAATGAGCAAACAACCAAAAAACACTATTAAAATTGTCTTTAAATATATGAAAAGATATTCAGCTTTACTCATAAGAGAAATTAAAGCTACACTGAGATACCACTTCTTAGTATCTTGGCAAAAATTTTAAAATCTTTGATAATGCACTTTTGCTGAGACTGTAGAGAAACTGACACTCTCACACTTTATACTAAGTAGTAAACTCTTTGGCATATTGAACTATATATGTTTACTTTATAACCGAACAATTCTTCATTTAGGAATTTATTCTAAAGATATACCTCCAAAGATATAAAGACATTTATATAGTGTTATTGTACTTGCGAATTATTGGAAATAACCTAAATGCCTATACAGAGGAGAGTAATTTGTTGCCCATTTATACTGTGGTGTACTAAGCTTTAAAAAAGAACAAAGGAGATATCTTAACTGATAGTAGTGATTTCTAGGATGTACTTTTAAATTTTAAAAAAAGCAAATTACAAAAGCAAATATTTAGTAAGCTACTATTTATTTTTTTAAAAAGGGAGAAATGAGGAAATATTTATTTTTGGTCACTTTGCAAAAAGAAAATACAGGAGTGATAAGCCAGAAATTAAAGAGATTGGTTATCTGTAGAGGATGTGTGAGTATAAGGTGAAAGAATATGGATGGGGTGACTTTTTTGTATAGCTTTGAATTGGGGGATCACATTAATGTTGTACATTCTAAAGTAATAATAATAAAATCAAAGAAGGAATGATTTGAAAATAAACAAAATCCTAATATAGAATATAAAAAATAACAAATGAACCTATCTAAGGGGAGTTGGGGGAAGAAGTCACCCAAGTCACTTTTTTTGAACTCAGTACTTTGATTATATGTCCTCAGTCTAAAGACAAGAACAACTGAAAATAAACTGAATTATATTTGGTCATTAAATATGAAATGTCCAATTTTGAATCAAAAATGTAGTTTATTATATCTCAAACAAGAAGCAGTACAAGTAATCAAAGTGGGCACCTTAACTATCAACACAGTTTTGCTATCTTAGTGGTAGCTTGCTTATGCCAACTGCATAGAAGCCTGGAGAATGAGTGACAATGAAATCGTGAAAAGTGTTTTCCACAGCTTGTTGAGAATTGAATGTTTTTCCTTGCAAGAAGTGATACAAAGCCTGGAAGAAGTGGTAGTCAGTTGGTGCAAGTTCTGGCGAATACAGTGGATGACAGAGAGTTTCCAAGTCTAACTGCTGTAGCTTAAGCAGCATTGGTTGTGCGACATGTGGTCAAGCGTTGTCTTACAAGAGGATTGGCCTGTCTCTATTGACTAATCTTGGCTGCTTAATTGCAAGCATCCTCATCATTTTGTCCACTTGGTTGCAGTAGACATCCCCTGTAATCAACTGACCAATTTTCATGAAGCTGTAGTCATTAATACCAGTGCTAGACACCAAACAGATACCATTAGCTTTTTTTGATGAATATTTGGTTTTGGACTGTGTTTCGACATTTCATCTTTATCCAACCATTGTGTCCAACATTGTGATTGTCAAAAAGAATCCATTTTCATCACACGTCACAATATGGTGTAGAAATGGTTCTCCTTTATGTCATGACAGCAAAGAAAGGTAAGCTTCCAGATGAACTCTGCTGACACTCGTTTAATTCATGTGGAACCCATCTATCCAGGTTCTTTACCTTGCCCATTTGTTTCGAGTGGTCCAATTTTGTTGGAATAGTAACATCAAACTGTGCTGCTAATTCAGGCATAGGTTGAGATAGATTCACTTCCATTATAGCTTTCAGCTCATCATTCTCCACCTTGGTCTTGGGTTGCCCACGTGGCTCATTTTCAAGATTAAAATCACCAGAATGTTACCTCTGGAACCATTGATGTACTATGTGTTCATTAGCCACATCCTTCCCAAACACTTTATTGATATTTTGAGTTGCCTTTGGTGCATTGGTTACACAAGGGAACTTATATTTGAAAATAACACAAATTTTAAACTTATCCATGGTTTCACAAAAATTGCCCTAAGAAAAGTTTGAAAGATAATCACAAACCGAAACGTGCTTTTGAAAGACTAAGGATGTACCTTCACAATAGAAATAAAACAATATGTGTCAAAATGAAATGTCAGAGATAACAACTGTCAAAAAAATTTCCTTAGTACCTAAGGAAAGTGGACATTTCATACTTAATAACCTAATACACTACATCCTCACTTTCCTCACTTAACATTATCAGTATGTTCTGGGAAGCTGTGACTTTAAGGGAAATGATGGTGTATAATGAAACCAATTTTACCATAGGTTAATTGATAGAAACAAGAGTCCAGTGGCATATTTCTGGTCACAAAAATATCACCAAACTTCTAAATGAAGACCAAAACACTTCTAATATTAAACATTGAAATATATGTGAGCTATACATAACATTTAAGAAAGATTAATAAAAACAGTTAAGATAATTACCCAAATTTTGATGAATCAGTGAGTGATGGCAG